TGGATGTTTTATTAACTGTAATTTAATTAAAAGGATTTATATTTAAATATTACTCAGAGTATAACGCTATATTACTTTAAAATTATGTGAAAAGGATTTAATGTTTGCAGTTGGTAATATTTTTTAACTCATTATTTATCTACTTTGATGAAATAGAAGGAAAGAATTAGTATTCTTTAGTTTACAGAATATTAGTAAGAGTTGCTTTACATTTTTATTATATTATCTTAAAAATGCAGCATTTTGAAACTTCTCTGATACTATAAACCAAAAATTTAAAAATTCACTTTAAATTGACATTTGCCATGCAAAATTTTGCTTGTAGCAGGGTTCTGCCTAAACATAAAGATCAGGTCACACAGGTGAGACTGCAAGGTTAGGACCTAAAACAGGAGGTCACAAACAACCGCTTTGTTGCTCATCTCAGGCAAACCAAGCATCCCTTTGAATGAATTTTGTAATTCTGCTGGGAGGAGATATCTATATTTCTTTTAAAACACCTTTGCAGTCTTTGCAGCTATAGCTGTGAAATGGTTATCATCAAATTTAAGGTGTAACAAGTTTGACAGCTTCTTTTGAAGTATGATACCTGCATTCAGTTTAGTTGATAGATTTTAATTGTTATGCTTGCTTTGACTTTGCGTGCTTAGAGAATTAGTTGTTGGTTTTGTATCTTCTTAGGTATCTTCAGAATAATAAAATCAGAGCTGTATCTGAACGTGCTTTCAAAGGTTTATACAACTTGACAAAACTGTAAGTATTGTTTTTTGAATATTGAAGTAAAAAGCAGCGGGAAGAGCTGTGAGAGCCGCTGTGGACATCTCTCTCTTATTTAACTCAATGTTAGGAAGTTGCAAAATGATCCAAATCCTTAACTCAACGATAGATTAAGAGCGGTCTGTGCAAGTTTATCTGACAGGACAATACTTTGAAAATACAAGTGGGCACCATACTTCACTCGCATTCCCAAAATCCTCCGAATGGAAGGAGACAGTATGGTAGTTACCCTGCAGGAGGTCACAGGGAATGAAAAAGGAGTAAAATAAAAGCAGGAGCTTGTGATGGTTGAAAACTCTTTAACTTTGTATTTTGGTTTATAGAGGTAAACCAAAGCAAACAGTATTGGTAATGAAAAGCACAGTTTTTTCTTTATTTTGCAGCAGCTTTTTGAAAGGTGCTTCTAAGGAAAATGCTCAGTGAAGGAGAGGACACATAAATTGCATTGTTTGGTTCAGGTTTTTGTTTCCACGATGTTTTTAAAAGGAAAATTTTACAACGTTGTACCTCTTTTTTTTTTTTTCCATCACACGAATATGGTTGATTGTCTGTTATTACAGCTGCTGTTATTACTTTCCCTCACCATTTATAGTACCCTTCCCCCTTCATTTCTCAGCCTTTCTTTTTCCATATTTCTGTTATCTACAACTGTAACTAACATCCTGAGCAAAGCCTGAACAGGATCCTGGGAATATTCATGGAATGAATCACTCGACAGAAGGAAACTGGGAAGGGCCTAAAATATGACACAGTGAAAATATCTAGCTTGCTGTGTTTTCATATAGATAAGGCAAAATGTTCTACGTAATTGCTCCGAAAGTTCTCACTAGGGCGAGTCCCAACTTGCTCTCAAAGACAGCCACAAAAATTAACATAATCAAAAATTATAATTATGAAAAAATTTAGTGGTACTCTGATAAATTATCAAGGAAAAAAACCCTTAAAAGTAATTTTCCTGCATCTGGTGCTAATTAATAATTCCATTCATCTTTGGTTGGTCTTGTTTTAGATACCTGAGTAACAACAAGATAACCAGTTTGAAGCCTGGTGTCTTTGAAGATCTCCACAGACTCGAATGGCTGTATGTTGGGTTTTTATTTGTATGTTTATTTTCCCAAGGAATAATTAAAGCAAGACAAAGAAATATTTGGATTGCTTTCATTTTTGTGCATAGCAGTACTTTATATTAGATAATAACTAAGGAACTCCTGTTACATCGTGCAAGGTAAAAATCCAACTGACGTTGGTGAGAGCAGAAGTTAGTTCTTAGGCCTTAATGGCTCCAACGACTGATGACTTTTACAATACTAAATAATGTTTATTAGTAATTACTTGTTACAAATTAGTACATGAAATAACTCACACTATAAAACAGTAGGTCTTCCCCTGTAAATAGTGCTTGAAACGTCCCAGACAAAATGACTGTCATAGTCTGAAATATTGGTTTATTACTGCCGTTTCAACAGATGAAAAGGAAACACGATTTTGACTCAGTAAAGTTATTAAAAATAAGCAAATAATAACATGCCAAATGTTTTTCTGTGTGTTTGGAACTGTTGGGTTGCTGTGGAACACTGTTGTTAGATGGTGCTGCTTTGTTTTCACAGAGAATCCACCCAAAGTGTCTTGATCAAAGAATTTTAGAAACTCCTAGGAAAACACTTTTTTTCTAAGTTGAAAGTAATCACTTTCTCTAAGTTAATTTTTTTTTAAAATTAAATTCTCTGAAAGGAAATTAATTCGATGAATGTTCTGACCTGCTAAGGAGCAGTGCATTAATTTTTTAAGTAGTTTGAATGGACACTTGAAGAGATCTACTTCAAAGTATGTTACTTTTTATTATCTGTTCAATTTAAGACTGCAGTCAACTATCAATCTGATACATGCTTTGCTGTAATTTGTAGGATAATTGAAAATAATAGGATAAATCGGATCTCGCCATTAACATTTTACGGACTCAAATCACTCATTCTCCTGTAAGTATGGAATAAGAACCAAAATTGTCATTTAAAAGAATAGATACAGATAAAAACCTTTTTATAACGACTCTGCTTGCTCACCGTGGAGTGCTGGCGGTACACCTGCGCCTTTTTCTTACTTCCAGGCAAAATGTGCTGGAGTAGGAGGATTTGGGCAGCAGCAGACATGCAATTGTCTGGAAAAGTATAGGGAGATGGGTGGGAAAAATGGTAAAAAGACAAGGTCATTGAAAGGGCAAGGACATGGCAGCTGTAGCAATAGGTGCCAGTTGTCCTCCAGAGCCGCAGGAGATGGGTGTCCCATAGCTCCTGCACCCTGGCAGCGGCCAGCACCCTCGGAGTAGGAGGATTTGGGCAGCAGCAGACATGCAATTGTCTGGAAAAGTATAGGGAGATGGGTGGGAAAAATGGTAAAAAGACAAGGTCATTGAAAGGGCAAGGACAGGGCAGCTGTAGCAATAGGTGCCAGTTGTCCTCCAGAGCCGCAGGAGATGGGTGTCCCATAGCTCCTGCACCCTGGCAGCGGCCAGCACCCTCCCTCCCCGAGACCCTGTCTGTAACCTGCCGATGTGCTCTCTCCAGCCCCAAAGACGAGGGAACCTCTTCCCCTGCAGCCTGGAGGGAAACCTCCCTCCATGTGCCCCTTCCTCCATCACCCACAGAAGTTACATGTTATGACGGAAGAGTCAAAATATTTGTATTGATTTGGTATGTTTTATTTAAACAGCAGTGAAGTGAGCATCTTTCCTTTACCTGGTAGTTAACAAGTTACGGATAAAATACTGCTCCGCAGAATGTCACAGGGAAAATATGTGGAAGTTTAAGAAAATACTACTACTTCAAGACTATGAGAAACGAATCAAGCTTTGACTGCCTTTTTTTCCAAAGTACAAACATAAGAGACATGAATTTTTTTTCTACAATGTAATTTTTTGGCAACTATAGCCAGCTATACTATTTCTCTTTCTTTTCAGAGAGATGATGAATAATTCTCTTGCTCGTTTGCCTGATAAACCTCTGTGCCAATATATGCCAAGACTCAACTGGCTGTAAGTCTACCCTATTTCGTTAGAAAAATATTATTTCGTTGTCTTTGTATGGCACTTCCACGCCACTTTTTCTAATGGGGCGCTGGATCTTACGGCGTGCCTGCTGGGTCATTGCAGGGGTGATGACATGAAGTCATCAATTAAGCGTGTGCAGGAATATTACATGTCTGGTTCCCACTCTCTTCCGTGCAGTCATGAAGTTCTGGTAGTATTTTTCTTTAATTACCTTAGAATAACTGCCTGAATTTCTTTTCAGTGATTGATGTTTTGTTTTTCTATCCCAGAGACCTTGAAGGCAACCATATCCATCATGTAAGAAATGCCACTTTCATCTCCTGCAACACTCTAACCGTACTGTAAGTAATAGGATGTGCTAGCTAGCCAGAGCGAGAAATGCTGGTGCTGAACAGTCAAGTGATTCATTACAGCTAATCTAAAAGTTTCCTGAGTATCATGGTTATTTAGATCTCAAGGAGATTAAATTCAAATGCTTGGTTTTAAATGAGTGCCATACAGAATAACTGCTGTTCACATTTATAGCACAGTTCAGCATTGATATGTGCAACTAAGCTTCACTGAAGCAATTTTGACTGATACGAAGATTTAGCAATTTTCATTCTACTTACTTGGAAAAGGAGGCAAAAATCTCATAGTAAAAAGCAGCAAACATGCAAAATACATAGCTTGTTCCGTCATTTTAAAGAGTTTGGCTGGTGGGTCGGCTGGCTCATCAATTTTAGAATTTTTCCCAAAGTTTCTTCAGGGATGATGTAATCATCTTCAGAAAATCCTTTCCATTTTTTGACACATTAGTAGGCTCCACAAGACCTGTCACTTTCCTTTTTAGTTCTTGTGCAGCACCCATATTCTTGGCTTTCTGTTTGCTTTTAAAATCCAGGTTGTTCATTTAAGGGGCAAGCTCGGAGGCAGATGAAATAGGGAAAGTTGCACAGCCATGTGCCTGTGTCCGAGATGCAGTTAGGTCAGAACCCTTCCAGCCCACTTAACCTTCCTCCTGCCCTCAGTCAATTTATACCAGCCTCCTATGAATGTCTACATATGCACAAATACATGTGTGTATAGGCAACAAAAGTTATTTATCAAGTGGTAAAATGGTAAGCTTCCAGATCCGATTAGCTTGTTAACTGAATTGGGCAAATATTTGAAGATGCAGAGGAGAAAGAATGTATAAAGTTTATAAAAAGTTTTCTCCAAAACCAAATAGATGTCAAGAAGCAGCAACATAGGTTTGTTTTATTCTTTCAGGGTGATGAGACAAAATAAAATCAGCTCTTTAAATGAAAACAGCTTTTCTTCTCTCCAGATGTTAGATGAATTGTGAGTAGAGTTCTTCTCTTACTTGTACAAGTCACAAAGTTTTATAATTTATATTGCAAATATCATTTATCATAACTTCTGTTTCATTTAACATGCTCCGGAGATAGCACCTATCCTCAGGTTTTTTTCTATATATTTAACAGTGAAGAAATAGTTGATAAAATACATGCTCTGTATCAATAATATCATTTTTTTATTCACAAGATCATTATGTTCCCTGAAGAGAATAATATTAATTAATCTTATCTCACCACAGTCTAGGGGTGTGTGTACCTTCAGTGTCTTTTAGACCAGTTTGCCAGTTTCAGTCAGACTGAGACCTTTACTCCTCCGTCCACAGTTATTAGGATTTATGTTTAGTGAAAATAAGGAGCAAGGTAGAGAGAAGAACTAAGGGAAAGATGTGCTGGTTAGCCCATGTGAAAGAATTCCCATCATGAAACGTATGTTTCATGTTTAATTTATTTCCAAGCTCCTACAACTCACGTTAAGGGTATTTTACTTCTTTTTTGATGTAAATAATAAAATTATTTAAAGGATGTAAAAAATACATCCTTTTTTGATGTGAATAATAATAAATTATGTTTCTAATGGCATATCTGAATTAACTAGACAAAGAGAGATCTGAGGGATCTAGCTTCCCACTTTGTTTTAACAACATTCTTTTATAGTCCAAGTTTCTGATAACCTACGTAATAAATAATATCCTATTTGGCAAAAACAATACAACTGTGTGTCTTGAAATTGCAAAACTGTTTGGTAAAACTACTGAGCCTAGTAAAAACTTACTATATCCTACCTGTGGCTGTTTCTGCAGAGATTTGGCTAGCAACAAGATTGAATCACTTCCTCCATATATATTTAAGGATCTAAAGGAGCTTTCACAACTGTAAGGATTCTTGATTGTTATTATATATAGCTGTATATCACTCGTTTGATATGATGCTTTCAGTCATGAATGCTGGGAAAGAGAAGAGCACCTTTGTTTTTATGCATCATTTAAGTTCTGCCTAAAAAATACTTATCCCAAAATTAATTCCATATAACGTTTTGCCTGGAATAGTTTTATAAAAGATGTGTATGTTTGTGTCACAAAAGATAGCAAGTTCAAATTCTACCTTTTTCTAGATCTTGTTAGTATATACAAAATGAGCTATGCTAGCTATATCATGAGAAATTAATAATTTAATGGCAGTCTTTAATGTGACTTCAGGATTTGGCTCTAAAAATAGATCATAAACATCTAAGAGCATCATACAGATGTCTTGTTTGCAACTGCTTTTTTCCTGTGAAAGAGTTCCAAAAAAGCATAAGGTATTATAAAACCAGAAAGACAGTCTCTCTTCTTCCCACCTATACAGGCAAATTCTCAAACACTGCTGCTGGGAAGTCCAAAGTTTTCTTGTGTAATCTGAAAGAGGCACTAGTCACAAAATTAAAGACCTCTCTGCAGGAGAGGAGGTAGCATATGGAATAACTTATTTTTATGCTTTTCCAGCATCCTTGGGATCCATCACAATACACTGGGGCAACCCAGTGTGTACAGCTGCATTTATTGAGTTTGCACATTTTAGTCACAATATCAAAACAAAAACATCAAGAAAAGTTATAGGGAGAAGAAAAAGGGGATGTACCTAGAAACACTCTTGCACAGAGTGATAGCATCTAATGCTAATGTTTATTTTTACATTCTGCTGCCTCCGTCTCTTGACCTCACATGAATGATTATGAAAAAGTAGATTTTAGCAACTATCAAAATCAATTGGAATTTATTTCTAAATGCATGCTGTTCAGCTAGGTGCTTTTACTTGAAAGACAAGTCTAGGAAGTTTAATAACTAAATATTTCTATAGTCAAAACCTTTAAGCGTCACGTTGGGGGAGGCAGTTGTGCATGTGTGTGTGTATATATGCAGCAATAGCATTCCTGTGAAGCATCCAGTTATTTTTTCCACTGGCTTAGCAAGCTAAATAACACTGAATGAATGTCACCATTTGCAGTTGTAACTGCCAATTGTACAAGTCCTTTCTATAGGACTGGAAAAGAAAATGGGTTATATAGTTTGACTTTAATTTTAGAACAAGCTGCAAGAAAGATGTACAAAGTTACTTGTGTCTATGTTGCATTTACAGGAACCTTTCTTACAACCCCATCAAGAAAATACAAATAGACCAGTTTGATTTTCTAATTAAACTCAAATCCCTGTAAGTATCATGTATTTCTATTTTCTATTTTCTATTATATTTAATATAATTTCTATATTTTCTTTGTGATTATGCACATCTCCTTCAGAAGGACATGATCTAGAATAAATTTTGTAAGAAACTGCCCTTGAAATACTTTATAGTTACCTTGATGACCCTCAACAATTTGAGTCTGGAAAAGAATTACTAGCAATATGCAGTTTTTCCTTCCTGAAAATACCAGTTTCATAATGGAAGTTTTTCCCACAAAAAGAGATCATAAACTCAGCTTAGAGAAGGACATTGTCTTTTCTGTTATTATAGAACAAGATTAATGCAACCCTCATTTGATCTTGCACAATTTGTTCCCAGGGCTTAAGGGTCACGCAAGGTCTAGTTGGGGCTATTAATGCTATGGGCAGGTATCATTAGGATATGTAAAGACAGGAATTATAAAGGAATTTCATATATGTACAAGTTTGGAGACATATTTCCATTCTTACAGAATCTACTGCTAACACCATGAAAAGAACAATATAAACCAAGTACGATTCAGCTGCCATGTCAGAAGGAGGTGGGACTTTTACAAATCTTTTTGAAGAGTTTAGGGGGAGTCTTTGTGAGTGCACTAACACAGCAGCTCTAACTTGAATTCTGCCAGCAGAGCTCTTCCTAGAACTGTGCAGATAGTGACAATCTTGCAAATATGAAATTATTTTGCAGTAGATTTATGTACATCTTCACAGGCCACTGCACGTCTGCAATAACCAGCTTGGTAGAGCTCAGCATTGGTTCTCGTCAGTCATCATTTCAAAATCATAGAATCATAGAATAGTTTGGGTTGGAAGGGACCTTTAAAGGTCATCTTGTCCAAGCCCCCTGCAGTGGACAGGGGCATCTTCAACCAGATCAGGTTGCTCAAAGCCCCGTCCAACCTGACCTGGAATGCTTCCAGGGATGCAGCATCTACCACCTCTCTGGGCAACCTGGTCCAGTGTTTCACCACCCTCATCGTAAAAAATTTCTTCCTTATCTCTAGTCTAAACCTACCCTCTTTTAGTTTAAAGCCATTACTCCTTGTCCTATCGCAACAGGCCCTGCTAAAAATGGTTGTGAAGATGCAAAAAGAGATGTTTCCTTGGATACAGGACATAGAGCATAATAGGAGTTTATGATTTGACCCCCCTGAGCTGTAGCCAGCAGTGTATACGCTTTTGTTGATCAGTCCAGCTTCCTCACAGGGATTTGGAATCCAGTGGCCAAATTCAAGTAAATTTGGCAAATGGCTAACAACCTGAAAGTACTAAATCTCTAGAAGTTTCATGGAAACCAGCAGCTGAGCACAGAAAAGAATAATTAATTACCTCCCTAACAGTTGGGCTACAGCATATACTTTATCTGTTATTTAACACCAAAGAACTCATGCAATTCAGTGACCGTGACCTTCATAGAAACATAGAATCGTCATGGTTGGAAGAGACCTCAAAGATCACCAAGTCCAACGGTACACCCAATCCACCATGCCCACTAAACCCACTAAACCACGTCTCGAAGCGCCACATCTAAACGTTTTTTGAACACCTCCAGGGATGGTGAGTCCACCAGCTCCCTGGGGAGCCCGTTCCAATGCCTTGAGACGGATCTATAGGAAACTGTATATTTCAGCAGTTTGTAGAGCACCAGTTGCCTCTTTGCTAGTCTGAAATAGTGAGAATACCTGGGGAAAGCACACCCTGAGATCACTGCAGTGCTTAAATAAAACTAACACACTTCCATACTGGAGGCTTGTTCCTTTTCTCCTAGCAAAACTACCCACCAGCCCACAGCAACTAACCAGTAAGACTGGTACTTTTCTCCACTTTTGCCTAAATGTGCTCAGAACTCACATGAATATTGCATTCAAACCATTCAACAGTGAATTCAAATAAGGCTCCCCACAAGGAGAACCAAAGACCTCTGACCAGTTGTACATCTAACCAGGGGATGGGATGGACTGGCAGAATACAGAAAATGAAGTTCTAAAAGAACAACTTACACAGTTAGACTTTACTGATCTAGCACTCCAGGGGAAATAATAGTGCCATTTTCAATGTATTAAAAAAAAGGTAAATAAAATAAAATAAGAAATCCCATCTGTGTCACAAGAAAGCCAGTGTTTTCCCTTACATGCCATGTTCTGTGTCCCAGCTTCCTGCTGCTCTTGACACAATGAAGAAAACTGAATTCCTGCAGTAGTTTATTTGTCTGGTAAAGCACTCCCTGGGATAAAAGACAGAAGAGACGTAAAATACTGCTATTGGAACAAGTTATTATTTTCTCAGAGATGATGAAAGAACATCAGTAGACCAGTGCTTTGGAAGGGCAACATAATAACCAGAGATTGCACTGCTGAGAGCGCTAAAAGAGCCGCCTTTGTGATTTTGGAAGAAGAGCGAGTTTATTAGACTTAATTGCAATTTATTTTATTCCACTTCAGCTTTTACGCAGACTTTCTGTTCAAGTTTCAAAGGGATGACAGATTAGATGCAATTAGAGTTCATCTCTAGTTTCCTATAATCATAGAAGTACAATTAAATGCTTGTAAAGTTTGTTCTTTTACTACTGAGTTTCTATGGCCTTTTACTGAGACTATATTGTTTACAGCAGCTTGGAGGGCATTGAAATTGCAAACATCCAGAGAAGAATGTTCAAACCCCTGAGAAACCTCTCCCACATGTAAGTAGACTATTCCAGTTTGCTTTCTTTGGTCTGAATTTTACAATTTACAGAACACTGGATAATTTAAAACAATACTACATGAAAAGCAGCATGTGAGCAGTTGTCAAATTTTGACAGTTTTTAATTACTTGTTCTTCTCTCAGAATGTGTTTTCTGAGTAGTTACTAGAGAGTTTTGATATTCTGGTAACCAAATTAGAATCATCTCTTCTCTGTTTTTCTTTCTCACAACCAGATATTTTAAGAAATTCCAGTATTGTGGATACGCCCCTCATGTGCGCAGCTGTAAGCCCAATACTGATGGGATTTCATCCCTTGAGAATCTTTTAGCTAGCATCATACAGAGAGTGTTTGTCTGGGTTGTATCTGCCATCACCTGCTTTGGAAACATTTTTGTTATCTGCATGAGGCCTTACATCAGATCGGAGAATAAGCTCCACGCCATCTCAATAATGTCTCTCTGCTGTGAGTACTCCATGCGTCAAAGTAAAAGAATATCGGCTTAGCCTGCTAATAGCGTGTACGATATTTGTTATAATTGTACAGTAACATACTTCCAGCACTGGATTAACTGAACTTTCATGCTGTTGCAAACGACAATACAAAATGCTGTACCTCACGTGCCAGGAGGTCTCATTAAATGCTGCCTTTGGCAGCTGATAAATTCCAAAGGTTTCACGTTTGACGCTGCAGGTATTGTGTCAAATTCCCACTTTCTTCAGCAAGAAGAAATAAAATTCCAAATTTTTCAAAGGCGCATGAACCTAAATTTTACTATGCATTTTTGAGTAAATAGCAATTTGCGTGTTTAAATATTGCATTCAAGATAGTTATTCTATTTTTCACATGAGCAAAAGGTTACTTATGCAAATATAGAAAATCAGTCCCTCTTAGCTCCCCAATAATAAGAATTAGGGTTTTTTTATTTTATTTCTAAAAGCAAGACAAGTTTATGGACAAACTACTTAGCAGTACAGTCACTACAATTTTGAGTAGCCTGTCTCAATACAGCAGTCTGTGTTTCACACATGCAATTATTTGCATTTTGAAAGGTAATTGTCAACAGTGTATAAAATGATTGCAAATGCTTCTAAATACAGCATGTCAGTGATTTTGAAACTTTGTTGTTTCTATGGGAACAATCTGAATGCTGTGCAAAACTTCTAGCCAAAATACTTGGGAAGCCTTCAGCTCTATGTTGACAGCTCCTCCTCCGTTACTCGTCTTAGAAGACTATGCACATCAGTTTTGAACTAGCATAAGGTGGACAAACCGAAACTAAATTTTTAATCCAGCAGGGATGCCTTACTCAAAGCAAATTATCTTAAGCCAAGTGTCAATATCAAAAGGATTAAGACCTAATTAAAAAAAAGGTTGCAAGAACATTTCTATAAATGAAGCTATATGTTTTTCTACTTGCAAACCAATTTCATCTGAGCTTCAAAAAATCAGGTTGGAAGCAAGTGTGAAACATAGACTGTCAGTCCAAATGAACATTTAAAAAAAAAAAAAAAAAAAGAGAAATAGAACTGAATTATACTGCCTCAATTGTAATTCACAATAGCAGTCCAACTATAATACTGATTTTTTTATCTCTATATTAGCTGACTTATAAATATGTAGTCATACATACGTGTGTATATTTGTTTTCCAATATACGTATGTGCAGAGAATGGGAAATTCAGATGTGTAAATAATGATGTTAAGCACTGTGCCCACAGGTGCTGACTGTCTGATGGGAATATATCTATTTGTGATTGGAGCTTTTGATCTTAAATATCGCGGAGAATACAACAAGCACGCTCAGTTGTGGATGGACAGTGTTCATTGTCAACTGGTTGGATCGCTGGCTATTCTGTCTACAGAGGTGTCAGTCTTACTGTTGACTTACCTGACTTTGGAAAAATACATCTGCATAGTTTATCCTTTTAGGTGTTTGAAGCCCAGAAAATGCAGGACTATTTCCATTTTGGTTCTTATCTGGATAATTGGGTTTGCTGTTGCTTTTATCCCTCTGAGCAATAAGGAATTTTTCAGGAACTACTATGGCACCAACGGTGTCTGTTTTCCCCTTCATTCAGAACAGTCAGAAAGTTCGGGAAGTCAGATTTATTCTGTTGTCATTTTTTTAGGTAAGTTGCATTTCTTCTTTATATACGATTAGAGCTGCAAATGAACTTAATTTTCAGACAAATAAGATAGCTTTGCTGTGACGTTCACATCTTGTATTTAGGTGCTCCAGTAAGCACTTAAGGACTTTTTTCCACTTGAATATTTTATTATATTAGAAAGATACTTACAGACCTTGAAATGCACGAAGGGCTGAAAAAGTAGAAAGAAATTAATGACCATTAAGTTCCTGAATGAATAGACTTTGTCAGGGAAGTAGAGCAATGGTAAGACCAGAGGAGAACTACCTAGTTTGGGTTGGATGGCAGCCATTTGTCAGGTGTCGATGAATGAAATAAATATCTGAGTAGAGGTGAAAATTCACTGTTCAGGTGAAGACTGACTCTGATTTTCTGGGCACGTAATTCTCTGGGACTAGCAGTTTGGATGAAACATTTTTCTTTACTACACAGCCTGCAAATAGGTGATGCAGAATTGCCGTTATCCTGTTAAATGAGAACTAATTTTAACTTCTTAAACAGGTGTAAACTTGGCAGCTTTTATCATCATTGTGTTTTCCTATGGGAGTATGTTCTACAGTGTTCACCAAACAGCTATTACGGCTACTGAAATTCGGAATCATATTAAAAAAGAGATGATCCTCGCTAAACGTTTTTTCTTCATTGTATTTACTGATGCATTATGTTGGATACCCATTTTTGTTTTGAAACTGCTTTCTTTACTTCAAGTAGAAATACCAGGTATGTCCTTTATTTTGAGAGGCTTTCAACTGTGTCTGTATGAAGAGTGTTGTTTCTACTTCAGAAGAAAAAGAATGTAAAATATTGAACTATATTACTATAAAGAACTTTATGTTATATATCTATAGATATGTACACACAATATAATGAACTGTATAGTTTTACTACCGAATTGAACTGTATTACTATAATCATCAAAGACTAGTCACCTTTGAGTCAGCCAAAAGAACCCCAAAACTCTAATCGTTCAAATCTATCTCCATAGAACATCTATAAAATGTACAAAATGTATTTGAAAGCCAAGGCTGAATTGCTTTGGCTTTTCTTATCTTACGGGTTTTGCTGGTTCTGTTGCCTAAATATGGCTTAGGACGATACAGTGTTTCCTATCTTGATTTAATAATATGTTATCCTGAAATAACTTTCTTTTACAAACTGGTACTTATAGTTCAAAACATTAAGTTATATAAAGCTCTGTGTACCTTCTTTATGCTATGAATATATTCCCACATAAAAATGGCGTAACCTAAAAGATTAAAAATTGCACCTTATTTTTTCCCTTCTCTTTGCAATACCAGTACGTGCCAGAAAAATA